CGAAATAAATCGAAATTTTTGCTTAAATCGATCGAAATTTTTGGTTTAAATCGAAAGAATATTTCCGTGTCCCTGGTACCTATTATAAATCTAAAACCTATCACGTGCTAATATACTAACCCTAAAGCTTGGTACGTGCAATTGGTACGTGTCCGTAGACGGTCCCTACTAGATATAGCTAAAACTCTCCAATCACGTGATTTTGTTCACTTTTTATTCATAGTAATCTTAATGGAATAAACCGGAAGTAGACAGTCATTTAACCTAAAATACGAGCATATGCTAAAAATAAATAAATTTTCTGCCCAGTTAGCTCCGATAGTACTAGATTTTATAAAATTTATTATAACATGTGTCTGTATCCCTTAAACTGTCAAGTGTCTAAATTTGGACGCTTAAATTTTTTTACCCTATTTTTTTCTGTTTACTCTAAATTTTGTTAAGCTTCACCCCTTTATTTTCTAAACTAAAATAAAAGTATACCACATGTTGGTTCTATATAATTCTTATGATACAAAATTTCTTGAATGATATTTCAAAAATTAGTTATTTAAGGTGGATCATAATAAGACTTTGATGTCCAAATTTCATACTAAAAAAGGAACCTTCACGTGACACTTATAAAGATTCCTTACATTCATCATACCAAGGTCTCTTCCTTTATTTGTGATTTTAACTTCAAAATAAAACAGCTTACATTGTCGAGGAATTGGATAATTTGCTCGAACAATAGCAGCAATTTTATAATCATCAGGGCCTTGTTTATACAAAAAAAAAATTTGTAAGTTGCATAATTTACACAATTTTAATGCTATAAACCCGAAATTCAATAGTCAAATTCAATTAATCGAGATGATAATAAGCTTTTGTAATTCTGACTTATAAATATTTTCTTAAAAAGTTTGCTTAAACTATTTGATCATTCACCTATATACTTTACTCCAAGTCCATACGAGTCAATACGCAGAAATGGTGATTCATCTTTAACATCCCACGCAGTCGGCAAGAAATAAGAATTTATCGATTCATTTGTTGCTAATAAACAAATAAAATTCCGTTAATATTAGATTTGAATATAATGTAATTTATATAAAGAAATTACCTAGTTTTAGGTTTTTATTTCTAATACTAATTATTAAATTGAACGTATAAATTTATGTCCGAACAAGAAAATAATAAATTTTAAAAAATTAAGCATTACTTTTGATACATTTGACTCCAATAACTAAGTTTTTGCATGTCTATTCCATACATTCCAGCAGATTTTCTATAATGAATGAATACCCTATCGTCATCCATTTTACTTTTAATTCGAATTTTTATTTCACTTATCTCAGAAGATTTTCGATAATGAACGAATGCCTTATCGTCATCCTTTTCTATTCCAATTCCAAACCTATAGCACTCTCCAATATTAAATATTCCATCGTTATTTCCCATATCAGCAGATTTTTGGAAATAATTCAAAGCTTTTTTTTCATCCCTTTCAGTTCCGATTCCACATTCATAACAATTGGCAAGAAGGTTCATTGCACTAGCACTCCCCATTTCTGCAGATTTTTGATAATAATTAAATGCCTTATTTTCATCACTCTCAAATCCAATTCCATAACGATAGTAACAGTCTAATTGAGACTTTAACTCTTGAATATTAAATTTTTGACGTAAAAGAGCTAATTTGTCAAAAACTGAACAATTAAGATCATTTATATACTCATGTTGAAGATAACAATGCAAATATATTTTCTCTTCTTCTTTTAACGATTCATCATCATAAATATATTGACTTAAAAATAATATTTCTTCTATAGAGTTGAATATTCTTTTGACCTCGTTATATAGTTTGTTATTTCTGGCTTTATTTGGCAGGTTATGCATATTTTCATCTTGTAAACTTTGGGTTTTCTGGTCTTGATCTCTGTCATAGTCAGAAGCAACTTGTTTTGTATACATTTGATGTTTTGTGCATAAAATGATTGCGGTCTTAATCCGTGCAAGAAAAAAAGCATTTTCAGTTTCAGTAAAATTTGCATATTCGTTCGAAAATTTGTTAAAATATTCTGATGCTTGCTCGATAGATAAAAAGGTCTTTCCGGAAATCATTTTATAAACAATATTCCAAATAAAATCTATTTTTCCCTTATCAAGTTTACCATTAGTAATTTGCTCCTTTGAACACAAATTAAATACAGTCTGAAGCCGTGCTCTAAAATTTTTTTTTCAGCATCGTTAAGATAGGTGATTTCACTTTTATACTTGTTAAGAAAATCAATGACATGTTTATCGGATGAAAATTTCTTATCGGAGAAAATTTTAACCATATTATCCCATTCTATATCTGCGTTCCATGTTATTTTGTCCTCGGCATCTTGTAGTCGTTCAAGTAAATATACAATTTCATTTATTTTACCTATACTGAGCTCTTTATATATAATATCTATTACAAATTCTAACATTTCGTGTCTTGTTGAAAATGGATTTTCTCTAATAAATTGATAGCTTTATCCCATACTTTGTTCGCCTTTTCGATATCAACATTCACATTCGCAATTAAAAATAGATCATTGTAATCTTTTAAACATTCAATAAAATGTTCTTTAAGACACAAATTGAAAGCTAATGTCCATTTTCTTTCTGTCAAAATTTGATCAATAAAATCATTAAAAGTCGCATAATTGTTCTTAGACTTCATAATTTATGTGATCTTATTTTAAATATGTAAGCTTAAATGCTTAATAAATTTTCTTTAAAGTCAGAAAGAATAATTTATCAATAAATAGTTAATATGCAGGTAGTATGTATAACGGTGATATTTCAATCAGGTGAGTGACAGACGAGGAAATACCGAGTTAGATCAGAATAGTCAACTAAGACAAGTTATAAGATCACTTTAGACGTCTTTATTATAGAGGAGGAATTACTAAAGAGTCTAAAGATACAAGAAAGGCGAATAGAGGATTTTTATATGCATAACTGGTGTCCCGCAGTCATCATTAATGGATTTCTATCTAAGGACTATCGGGGACACTATAACTAACTAATCTCATTTAAATTATTGAGACACTAAGATCGTAATTATTCAACATTTTCTCAACAAATTACATGTATCTAGGGCGCGGAACGACCGGCCCGTAAACGGGCTTTTTTTTGGAAGTTGATTTGGGCCAGGGGCGATTTTATGCAGATCACACAAAACTGCAAAAACTGCATAGCATAGATTTGCTACGTAATGCTGCATAAAATACGTTGCTATTAAGTAATTATCGAATAATGGCTCTAAATAATGTTCTGAAATTTGTCGGATAGAAAATCGGTCAACGCAAATTACTAGCAAGATCAAGAAAAAATCAAAGGCAAGTTCCTAAATATTCTGAAAGATGGCATCATACTGAGTTATAAAATTGCATGTTTCATACACAAAACGCAGCATAATTACACGTGTATTTAAATTTTGAATGCAGAATCTAAAAAATATATACGCTAAAATGCATATTTTGCATGCATTATTTATGATTAGCATAAATCATCGTCCCTAATTAACCCGCTTTAACTTTTTTTTTCCGGCATGCTGTTGATCGTTCCCGTATAAGTTTATGATTGGCATTTGTTTGC